TATCGCACATGAGCTCCATTAAGAACTTTAGATTAGTCAGGAGCAGATAAGGGATTGAAGTGCTGCTTACTACTTACTATATTCCTGATGTATAAACTGGCTGCATGGCCTGGTACACCTTCAGAAAAGGCCGACAAGCTGAGAAAAAAGGGGATTGGCTTTATAAAAATGGGTGTTCCCATAGCATCATGGATTACACTGTTATGTTAGAACGCACATCCAGGCTACCTACCCAGGCAAGAGCTTGGTTTAGGCCACATGTGCCTGCTTAGCTGCATGTGATTAGAAGTTAGCAAGACCACCCAGGGATGTCTTTTGCTTTCGTCTTCTGTTGATGCAACAGCAATTATCCCACAGTTCTCGGGCACTGATATTGTTTCAGTTTCATTTACCTTGTGGCAGGAGTCCTGAGGTGGGCAAGCAGAAGCTGGTCTGGTCTTCCATCTTCAGGAAGTGTTCTCACTTTAGAGGGATTCTGCCTTCTGGCCTCCAGTTGGGGAACAGATGCCACAACCTACCCAGAATTCCTCCAAGCAGTGAGGATTTCTCTACTCCCATCCAATAGGATACAATAGGGTGTCTGCTATAGATCACCAAACCAGACTGAAGACCTGGAGGATGCCTTCCTACAGCTTGTTTGTGTTCCGGACTGCTGGCCGCGCTGGCTGGAGCTAAGAGGCGTTGGGGTTCAGCAACATCTGGGAGGCCACAGGTGAGCTTTCCTTACATTAGGGGAAGAGGAAGTGGTGCCCAAGGCCAAAGCAATACAGATGGTGTGACAGCTGATGGAGCAGGTCGGGCAAGCAAATAAATGAAATTATTAGATTTATTTACCGCCTATTCCTCTAAGGATTATGGCCACCACTGGTGAGAGAAAGGTATGGCCCCCACATTTTGCAGTGTCCTGTGCTAAAATTTGGCACACACACACCCCCGGCTCCCCCACTCCATTTGACAGCATTGTTGTGGTGCTCTCTGAAACACGGCACCCGGTACGAGCTGCACCGGTTGCACAATCCTAAATCTGCCTCTGCAGAGCTTGTATTAGCATGAAATCAGGACCCGTGCTAATACAGCTAGGAGCAAGGACAACTGCAAGCAGAATAAACTCACCCCCCCCCAGCATCAAAATTCAGAATTCTGTGTAGGATAACGTAATGCAGGAAGAGAGATGATGTGTTCATTTTTACAGATCCAGAGAGAAGGCCACTTAAGAATTGTGCATAGCTGAAAGGGGAAACGGTCATAGTAGATAAATTAAAGCAAACACAATACATAGAATCATAGAATCATAGAGTTGGAAGAGACCCCAAGGGCCATCGAGTCCAACCCCCTGCCAAGCAGGAAACACCATCAGAGCACTCCTGACATATGGTTGTCAAGCCTCTGCTTAAGACCTCCAAAGAAGGAGACTCCACCACACTGCTTGGCAGCAAATTCCACTGTCGAACAGCTCTTACTGTCAGGAAGTTGTTCCTAATGTTTAGGTGGAATCTTCTTTCTTGTAGTTTGGATCCATTGCTCCGTGTCCGCTTCTCTGGAGCAGCAGAAAACAACCTTTCTCCCTCCTCTATGTGACATCCTTTTATATATTTGAACATGGCTATCATATCAGTTTGACCAAACTGCGGGAGGTAGTGGAGGACAGAGGTGCCTGGCGTGCTCTGGTCCATGGGGTCACGAAGAGTCGGACACGACTAAACGACTAAACAACAACAACAACATCATATCACCCCTTAACCTCCTCTTCTCCAGGCTAAACATGCCCAGCTCCCTTAGCTGTTCCTCATAAGGCATCGTTTCCAGGCCTTTGACCATTTTGGTTGCCCTCCTCTGGACACGTTCCAGTTTGTCAGTGTCCTTCTTGAACTGTGGTGCCCAGAACTGGACACAGTACTCCAAGTGAGGTCTGACCAGAGCAGAATACAGTGGTACAGTGGTGCCTCGCAAGATGAAAAGAATCCGTTCCGCGATTCTCTTCGTCTAGCGGTTTTTTCGTCTTGCGAAGCAACCCTATTAGCGGATTAGCGGATTAGCGCTATTAGCGGCTTAGCGGCTATTAAAGGCTTAGCGGCTTAGCTGCTAAAAGGCTATTAGCGGCTTAACGGCTTAGAAAAAGGGGGGGAAGTGGGGGGGAAATTGCAAGACTAGCAAGACGTTTCGTCTTGCGAAGCAAGCCCATAGGGAAAATCGTCTTGCGAAGCAACTCAAAAATGGAAAACCCTTTCGTCTAGCGGGTTTTCCGTCTTGCGAGGCATTCGTCTTGCGGGGCACCACTGTACTATTACTTCCCCTTGATCTAGATGCTATACTCCTATTGATGCAGCCCAGAATTGCATTGGCTTTTTTAGCTGCCGCGTCACACTGTTGGCTCATGTCAAGTTTGTGGTCAGCCAAGACTCCTAGATCCTTTTCACATGTACTGCTCTCAAGAAAAAACTCTTCCTATACATGAAAAAGCTCTTCCTATAGTTGGCCGTGTTTTTTAAGGCACAGTCTGCTCACACTCCCGTGCAACAGTAGGCAGTGCAGTCCTTCAAACTGCTTTGGAATTACTAAGGTGATAGCAGTTACTATTACGATTTGTTAGCATTTGCATCCCATCCTTCCTCCCCATTATTCAGCTTTTCCGGGTCATGACTAAACTGCTTCTGATGCACGAAACACCGTGATGAGTGGCAGAGCGCACGGAAATGCCGTTCTTCTAAATTATTTTGAGCAAATGGGGGAAATTCCATTAGTGGCCTAGACACAATTCATTGCATCCAGATTCATTAGGCGCACTTAAAGGTAAAGGTAAAGGGACCCCTGACCATTAGGTCCAGTCGCGGACGACTCTGGGGTTGTGGTGCTCATCCCGCTTTACTGGCCGAGGGAGCCGGCGTACAGCTTCCGGGTCATGTGGCCAGCAGGACTAAGCCGCTTCTGGCGAACCAGAGCAGCGCATGGAAACGCCGTTTACCTTCCCGCCGGAGCAGTACCTATTTATCTACTTGCACTTTGACGTGCTTTTGAACTGCTAGGTTGGCAGGAGCAGGGACTGAGCAACGGGAGCTCACCCCGTCATCACGGGGAATCGAACCACCGATCTTTAGATCGGCAAGTCCTAGGCTCTGTGGTTTAACCCACAGCGCCACCCGCGTCCCTAGGTGCACTTAGTAAGCACTTAAATCCAGTTCCCACCAGTGACAGGCTGCTTTCTTCTCTGAGTACAGTATATAACTTTATTCTAACAAGACTCAAGCCTCAGGCCTCAGACAAGCTCTGCACAGGCCTGCTTACACCGATGGCAATTAAATTAAGTCATTACTAACTTGTCTCATAGATATTAGTAATGACTTAATATGCAAATGGCAAAAAGGGGAAGGATGCTCCAGTACAACCCCAATTCCCGACACAGTTTGAAGAGCTGTACAGCACAAGGCATTGCAGGTATGCCAATGGACAGGAAGTTGCATCTGCCATAAAACAGAATTTCTCTCCAAGCCTTTCAAAAATGATTATATTGCAAGTGGGGGGTGGGGTGTCGCACACTGAAGACACCATTTGACACCTTCCACCCTGACCATCCTCCATGGCTGCAATTACTGCCATGAAGCACCTTCTGCAAATGCTGCTCTGTGGGCTTCTGCTTTTCATGGATCCTTGTTTGCAGAAGAGAAAGGCTGTGAGAAAATCAGAACAGTTTATATGGCACATCCTCTCAAAGGGGCCAATGGAAACATCTTGTTCCTTTCGATCCCACGGCACTGCTCATCTGTGCCTTTCAAAGCAATGTTTGCAAGCACACCCAACCGCCCTAATAATGCTGCATTTATTTGCTGACCTGGAGCAGAATGGGAAAGGATCTCTCAAGGCTAAATATTTATTAAAGCCTCAGAGGGGATGTGTTGTTCTTTTTCCACTTCAGCAGCAGCTGTGTAGGTCTCCAGAGAAAAGCGCAGCAGCTCACTGGGAAAGCTTTTATGCAGTGAGAGACAAACAGATGTACTGCCTGGCCTGGCTTTCTACCAAACATTGTCCTCTCAATGGCTAGCAAGAGCCTCCCTCTCCAAACAAGTTCTACAATACTCATCTGCTTTCTGGTGAAGGGAATGGATGGGTAACTAGGGTTACCAACCCAAGCTGCCAGGCTGATTGCTTTTTGGCCAATTGTTGTGCCCTAATTCCTCTTCCCATTCTGGTATTACAAGGCCCACTAATTTAATCCTAAATTGAATGAATATTCCAGTCATATAACGTCAAGTCATGTTTGCATTGTAACCACTTCTATGAATATGTTATCTGTGTTTCTTACATGCAAACTGGGGTTCTCATGCTACATTTATTGTTTGGTATGATCAACAGGATCTGGTAATCAAGATCTGCTACTACGAAGGCAATTTCAGCCGCCTGTAAATCTGACTTTAGTATAGCGAACAACTCTGAAGAACTAAAATGGCTGAAGCAGTGCTTAGCTGAGATTCCTGGATTGCAGGGGGTTGAACTAGATGACCCTTGGGGTCCCTTCCTGCTCTGTGAGTCTATGGTTCTAGGCTTAGCGTGGCAGCACCTGCACTTTGGAACTACCCATTGAGATCAAGCAGGCACCTTCATTGTACTGTTTTCCCACCCTGTGGCAGAACTGGACTGGGGGGGGGGAGGTTCTTCCTAAGCCCAAAGTTGCCATGATGGGAAAACAAAATGCAGAAGCCTGTCTGTAGTCATGTTGTGTGTGTGTGGCAAGTGTGTGTGTGTGTGCGTATGCACACTTTGCACACAGGGCCCTTGGAGGGCAGCCTAACCCTCAGTGTGGACTTGGGCCAAAACATGGTTAACCACACCTTTTATAATGCAGATTCCCTCTTATATGAGCCCAGCAAAATATACACACCCTCAAGAAGGGAAGGATGGTGAAATGGATGGTGAAAGATGCAGGAAACCGCCCTCCGACTGTGGAGAAGGGAGGGAAGTATGGTACTTGCCTAAACAGAAGTATATGAGAAGATAAATGAAAATACCTTTTCTGGGATGGTTGCATTAAAGCAGAAACTTTATCATCAAAGAATTTCTTCATAGCAAATCTATCTAGGGCTTGATCTGCACTGTTGAGAGAAGGGGAGGAAAAAAATTATATTGTTTTCGGGAGTAGCTTTGCTGCTCTGAAATCAGGATATTTCATAGATTCATACCAACTGAATCACGTTCTGGGTTAATTGGCAAACGCACTCGATTCTAGATCTGATAGGGCCATTATTGTTTGAACATGGATGTTTTTACAGTAGTTGCCTTGGGAATCTTTTTTCATTTTGAAAACTGGCCAAAAACGTATTAAAATGTGGATGCTTCCTTCCCTGCTCCACCAGGACCAGACAAGCCCTGACCCTCAGGCACATTTTTAAAAATGAGTCATAGAATCAATTAGCACATTTCAACCTTAGAAGGGTAATTAACTACATACTTAAGGAATGGGGGGTGGGAATTGCTAAGCAACATTCTCCTCATTTCCAACCAAGGTTAGTTGCATTGGTAACTGAAGCTCCACTGAGTGCCAAGAATGACTTTCTGCCCCTGGTGAAATGCTTCACCCACCTGACATTTGCTCTGAAACCAAGGACAGAAAACAATTCTAACCCTGGAGGCTTCCTGCCTTTTCTTGTGCTTTTAGTAGGATCCTGTCTTCTCCACTTCGTATTTTAATCTGGCCTTACCTCACCGTGTGCCCTCCAGACGAATGAGTCTGGACCCTGCAATCTTCATCAGAGGCCCTTGTCCATGTGCCACACAAGAACAGACCTTTCCAGTGGTGGACCACCATGGGTGGAATGCTCTCCACAGAGAAACATGCACTAATGTGATCAATTCTTTTTGGTGTTTGGTTTTTATTCATTTGTACTTATTATGTTATTGAATGAGCATTTTAAGTATTTTGTATTATATTTGTATTGTTTTAAATTTTCTGACTTTAATTGTTTTTATCCATTGTATTTTATCTTGTAAGTCACTCCAAAACTTTTAAGGTAAAAAGTGACCAACAAATGTAATAAATAATAATAAATAAATCATGCTTTGGACTGCAAGTCCCACATTCCCCGAACACTAACTGCACTTGCTGGGGCAGATGGAAATGGCACTCTAAAACATCTGGAAGGGGTGAGGTTGGGGCTTCAGACGTAGGCAAGCAGAAGACCTGGCAGACACACCTGCAAAGGGCATGTATGCAGATATCACTACTCCTATTCTTCCTTTTCCACCCTATAAACAGAAAAATCAGCATTTCATTTTATTTTACAGTGGTACCTCGCAAGACGAATGCCTCGCAAGACGGAAAACTCGCAAGACGAAAGGGTTTTTTGTTTTTTGAGCTGCTTCGCAAAACGATTTTCCCTATGGGCTTGCTTCGCAAGACGGAAACGTCTTGCAAGTTTGTTTCCTTTTTCTTAACACAGTTAATACAGTTGTGACTTGACTTCGAGGAGCAACTCATAGAACGCGGTGTGGTAGCCTTTTTTGAGGTTTTTAAAGACTTTGGTGATTTTTGAAGCTTTTCCAAAACTTTCCCAAAACCGTGCTTCGCAAGACGAAAAAAATCGCAAGACGAAAAAACTCGCGGAACGAATTAATTTCGTCTTGCGAGGCACCACTGTATTTAACTCTTTTCCCAAGGCAGTTTACAAAACCCTGAGATTCAGTAGCATTCCACCCTGTTTTCATACTTGTTCAGTATTTTATGGTATTTTAAAATCATAACAATATCAAAACAAAGCAATAAATTGCAGCAAAGAAGCCCAAATGCAACTTGGAGTAGCTCTGTGTCGATATTTCTTCCCTTCAGAGAATAGATTTGGTAGTTATTCAAGACAAGTCTAGGCATCTTTGCAATGTCTGGCACGATACGTTATAAAATATATATATTCTGGAAAACAAGTGTATTCAAAAATGATTACTAGAACCTTCTTCTGACACCTATGATTTATAGCAGTGACTGCATTTTAAGACCCTTTTCACAATGTTTCAAAATCTTATTAAAATGTATGACAAGCAATTAGTACAAATTACTGATAGATAATTACTTAGTCAACATATCTATGGTGGGAAGTTCAGATTGAGGAACAAATGGCACATTGATATACTGAGTTTTAAAAAAAGTGTTTTTAAAGTAGGGGTCAGCAAACCTACCGAGCCCAGACCTCTTGCTGGGCTGGAGTGTGTGCAATTTCCACACACGTGCTATTTCCGCGCACACTGGAGGAGGCACGGAAGAGGCGTCCGTGACTTCCTGCAGCCAATAGGAAGCCACTCCAGCATAGCAGAAGTGAGTCCCCGTGCAACGAACCAGTGCCGTGCCGTTTAGCTCCACACGGGGACTGACCGAGCTGGTGGCAGGGGCCGGGGGCCAGTTAAACAACCCCCCAGGCCTTAGCTGGCCCAGGGGCCGTTGTTTGCCGACCCCTGGTTTAAAGTGATACTGCTACAAAACCAGTTGATTTTTTGAAAAACAGAAACTTGTTTTAGCAAGAGAACATTCCTGATTGGTGGCTCCTCCAACGGGAAGACTCAGGCAGGTTCCCTTTTGCCGCCTCTCTAGGGAAGGCGGAGTCATCCCTTTCTGCAGACCAACCTGCAGAGCCAACAACTCCCGGAGTCCTTTGTAGGTTCTCCATTGGTCGGAGAAAATAACAGGCCAACCAGAGAATATTGAGAAGCAAAGCAGCTCGTAAGCCTGCTCTTTATTGATCTGTTGCAACAGGGTGCTCCCCACACACGCAGGAAAGGAGGAGGACCCAGAACCCCCCCCCTTATATAGGCATTTTAAATTGCCTGCCCTGGAGTCCAAGACCACCCCCAGAAACATCATACCTACATCACATACCTACAACAGAAATCTGAGAGTGTTGTTTACCTCCTGTCCGGCAGGCTACCTGTTAATGCTCACTTGATTGGATACCCTGGGGAGCCTGGCCAGTCTTTTGTAAAGACAAATACTTAGTTCCTGAGCCAGGTCACAGGCTCACCCTATTCATACAGAGACATACCCTTCAGACAGGATTTGTGAACGAAAAGACAATGGGGAGGCTCCCCCACCTCCTCCCTCCTTGCAGAGAAAACACTTGGTCAGTTTGGGAGTCAAAATGGTTCCAGGGCAGTCTTCCTGTGCTGCTCCAGACATGTGGTCCACACATCTATGTATGTGCTTGGTTGGTACATTTATGAACATTTATTATATATATATATATAAGACCTTAAATTTTTTATTTCAGTAACAAAAAGAACTTCCCCTATAAGAAAAAGTGGAAACCTCCAATTAAGGAGCAGCCGCCTAAGAAAGGCTTTGACAGTATGTGAGGTGGCAGAAGAAGCCATCAGCCCCACAGCAGAGGAAGGAGAGCTGGGCAGAATGTCCTCCCACATCATCTCCAAACAGAAATCCACAGCAAGGCCAGTTTCTGTGTTTGCCAGATGCTGCTGGAGGACGTTCCGATGGCGATGGGTCAGAGCAGCATCGAGAGCTTGGCAGGCGTCCTCTACGCTTCTCCCTGGCATCGCACAGCCTTTTTAGGGAATCTTCCCACTGAATACAGTCTCCAAGATTAGGAAGAGTTGACTATATAGTGTCTATGGAAGGTGAGAAGGCAGTTCACAGAGGTGTCCTACAAATTTCCAGCAGAGGAAGAGTACAAAACAACCAAGGCTGCCTCCCTCCCTCAGGCAATGAGGAATAGGCCATTCCAACTTTCTTCCCTACAGAGGGACCTGTAAAGCTCAGAGGGACGCAGATGCTCTCACATTCAGAGGCCTGTCCAAAGACAACAGCACAGCCTTGTGGACACTCAGGAGATGCCATCTGCATCCAGTGAGGAGGAAAGATGTTAAGTTTAGAACCACTTATAGCGAGCGAAAGAAGGCCAAAAAGCTCAAGAAAGCAGAGGGTTTCAGAGGCCCTTGAGTGTTCCTTCTGAAAAGAGGCCTCATCCCTATCAAGAACGTCCTCCAGCATCGCCCTCAATTGCAGAGCTCCTAATCTGCTTGAGGAATAAGCAGGATTTCCATTTAAAGGACCATCGTCAGCCCAGATTAAAGACACAGATGAGATGCAGAGCAGCTTCCAGGCTCTCTTTCTCCCCCCCCCCACCCCATCCTCCCAAACAAGCAGGCTGTTAGCAGGCTCACAACCCTGCAGGGATCCTGTGGATATGCTAATTGCATAAGGCAATTTCTCTGGGTACAGTTGCCCCCTTTTAGGAGTCCTGGGGCCTCTTCTCCTTTTCCCACAGGTTCAGCTCACTTACTTGGCAATGGATCACCACCACATGCTGAGAGTCACTGTTCAGCCAGAATTCTATAGCTTTGCAAATGGTGCCCAACTTCTTAAGGGGTGGAGCGTGAAGGTCAGGCCAGCCCCCACCCAGAACCTGGGAAAAGGAGGGCTCCTTGCTTCTGGTTTACCTGCTTGATGGAGTCTATTTCAGAATATAAAGTGTTCAGGTCTTCTTGCCTTCTCTTTCTTTCTGCCTTTAGAAAGCTCCTCAGTGTGGAGAAAGGACACAGAACTTAAGATGCTTCGGTTCTCTGCGAACTCTGTGCAAGTTTACATGTTAGGCAGGGTGAAGCAGGAGGGGCTGATTTCGATATACAGTGGTACCTCGGGTTACATACACTTCAGGTTACAGACGCTTCAGGTTACAGACTCCGCTAACCCAGAAATAGTACCTTGGGTTAAGAACTTTGCTTCAGGATGAGAACAGAAATCGTGCTCCGGCGGCACGGCAGCAGCAGGAGGCCCCATTAGCTAAAGTGGTGCTTCAGGTTAAGAACAGTTTCAGGTTAAGAACGGACCTCCAGAAGGAATTAAGTACTTAACCCGAGGTACCACTGTAAATGGATGGTACTGGTGAGACAGCAAAATGTGCATTTGAGGTGATGATCTATGATAGCCCATTCCCATGTGCCAGCCTTCACTTGAGGTTGCAGTCATATATGAACCAGCCCATGTATGATATGTTTGTGCTCAGGGAGGGCTGCGTGGAGATAGGAGAGGTCCGCTCCTGTTAACAGAGCAGGGGCAGGGGTGAAGATGAGGCAGAACAGGGCTTTGCTGAGCCTT